TATCAAAACCTCTTTCCTCCCACAAGACCCAAAGAGACACCACACTAATCTGCATCAAAAGTCCAACGCCACGTCGAAACAACCTGGCACTCCCTCGGAACCTGCAGCATGGCCCCGCGGGCCGGCAACGCCCTCGCCCCACAGGGTGGAGTCGTCGACGAGCGCCTGAACGTCCACGGCGTGCAGGGCCTCAAGGTCGCGGATCTCTCCATCTGTCCGGATAATGTGGGGTGTAATACTTATAGTGTACGTTTTTCTTGCCCTCCCCCCCACCCCTTCTCTGCCCGAGGTTTCACGGTGGCTGTTTTGATTCTTGAGTTGGGGGCTTCATCCAGCTGACATATTTCCCGGCAACTGCAGACGGCATTGCTGATCGGGGAGAAATGTGCGGTGTTGACGGCGGAGGATTTGGGGTATCGCGGGGCGGCGTTGGAGATGAAGGTGCCTGAGTATCATGCGCCGGGGGAGACGAAGGGGTTGTCGAGGCTGTAGGTGTTGGGTTTGGATGGCTGGGGATGATTTGGGGGGGTTATGATTTATGAGGGTAGTCTTGTTTGTAGGGTTTTGGGTATATGTTCACTTCGTATTTATGATTGAATTCTTTGCTGGGTTGGTCATCTTGATATTCTGTGCGAGGGTGGGTTGCTCGCCCTGTTCAGCTGTGGTAAGTCCCATGTGTATGTACAGATTCTGAAGCGAAGTATGTATATATATGTGTGCGTACTGTACAGTTGCCGCCCCGCTCAAGGGCAACCTACAATTTCGTCGGAGGCACAACCAGATTGACATCCACCCCTCCACCCTCCGAAACACTCACCATCCCCTTCTTCGCTGCCGCCTCCGCGGCCTTGACATCCGCCCGCCGGTTCCAATCCTCGAGCTGCTTGCACATCCCGTACAGGGTCCCGATCGGCGGCGCGTACCCCAGCCCGCCCTGCGCGGGGCTTCTCCGCGCCCGCGAATCGTCCGCAATGACGTGCACGTTCGAGATCGCGAACAGACCCGGCTGCAGCTGCGCCAGGTCGCTCGGCACCGGCGGAAGCAGCCGCGGCAGGTACAGATGCTGCAGGAGGGAGTACCACTCGACGAGGTAGGAGAGCAGGAAGAAGGGGATTGCCGGCACCCGGGGGAACTCGACGGGGGTCTTGGCCAGGGTCTTGAGCAGGAGGTAGAGGTCGCTGAAGGCGATTGCCAGGTTGGGGTCGGTGACGAGGAAGGCCTGCCCGCCGATGTTGGGGAGCTCTGCGGGGGTGGCCGTGTGTTCGAGGAGGCGTTGTTCGTAGAGTAGGTGCGCGATCGAGACGTTCTCCGCGTTGACGAAGTTTTGGACGACCGGGTAGATCCAGCTTTTTTTGGGTAGAAGAAAAAGAGGTTAGGGGGCGGATTGTTTCGCAAAGGGGACCAGGGAATTTTGCGGGGAAAGGGGGAAGGGGGAAGGGCCCTGCTCACCTGGTGTTTCCGCCGGTCTTCAGATACATCGTTGTCACCCCTGCGCTGTTTTCTTCCCCGATTCCGTAAATGCCGTTCGCGGGTCGGATGCAGCCGGTGCGGAAGTTGGATTCGAGATCGTCCGCGGCGCGAACGAGGGACTCGGCTTCCGCCTTGGAGACGGCGTAGTTGCCGAAGAAATCGTAGTGTTCCTGGGGCAGAGGGGTCGCGTCGCTGATCACCTGGACCATGTGTTGAGGGGTCTTCCGCCAGGGAGGGAGCCAGAAGGAGCCACTGCGCAGAGCGACGGAGCCGGATGAGGTGGAGATGAAACAGCTTGCGCCGTGCTTCTTGGCAGCATTCAGCAGGTTGACGGTGCCGGTCACGTTCACGTTGCGGCACCGTGATAGGAAAGCTTTGTGACGCTCGGCGGGCCGGATGACTGCCGCGTTGTGGTACACGGTCAACGGCAGGGCTGCCACGGCTTCAGGCCATGGGTGCGCAAAGGCGCTCGAGACGGCCCCCTCGTCGACAATGTTGGTCTTGAAGAACGTGACTCCCTGGTCGAGAATCTCATGACGAGGTGGTTGAAGGTCTAGAACTCGAATAGCTGCCGGGTTCTCTCCGCGAGCAAGTAAATGTGTGACAATCCAGTTTCCGACAAGTCCTAGCATGTGTTAGGTGCTTCTTGCACATGGGCCCCTCTTGACCTGGCAGCTATCTGTTCGCATCCGCAGTCGGGAGATTTCCTGCAGACAGCTCAGGGCTATAGACATACCCGATCCACCAATCACAATGTAGCGACGATTCTGTTTAGGAGGCAGACTGCTTTCGACGTCCACAGGATTACGAATCGCGTCCTCGTAGGCGTTCTTGATCTCTTCAACTGTCCAGCGGTGAGGAGACAGACGGCGGACTTCCTCTGGAACCCCGGTCATGCCTCGATTGACATGATAGAGGTAAAGGAAGGTCAGGCCGGACACGGCGACTAATGCAGGAAGCATGGCCAAAACCGGGCTAAACTGAGCACAAAGGTGGCGGTTTCGAGTCTATATGATGGGTGGCATAGGGACCATGACTCCAAGAACTAGACAACTGGGAAGAATTCGAGGCCAGGTAGATATTTAATGCCAATACATTGAACCGTGTCCCTGAGCCACGAGCCTATCGGAGGTAGCACCATGGCGGTTCGAGCCATGGGCGTTGAGTTCGCTTCGAACGGGATCCAAATTTAGTCGCCTCGGTTAGAAAGCGATGCAGCGATCCACAACTTGAAGCCTTTCGTTGGTTGACCGGAGCATTCTACCGGGCATGTCACGGACTTTTCTGCAGGAGTGGAGGTCTGGAAGTTGGAAAGTATGGGGCTTGCCGTGAAATTGAAGTGAAATCTAGAAAGGAGAACGATGTCTCACAAGCGCGGTGCTTGTTCATCCCGCGGTGTCCGCGGGACATTGAGAGTGAGCTTTGACCATCCTTCGCATTTAACTGATGATTACTCATAAAACGAGTAGAGTGGAGCATGGCTCTAGGCTGCGCGATGTCGCTCCAACATCTGCTGCTCAACCAGGTTTGCGGCAGGGCAAGAGATGGCAAGTAGAATGTCGAACTTGATGAGTGTTTGTATGTTGCATCTGAGTACTGTAGTTTATGGAGTGTTACGGAGTAACTCAACAGTCGAGTCAATCCAGACCATGTCACATGCGCCCACGTGATTCCACCACGATTTGGCCGGATTGTCGCTCGGGATGATTCCGAGCACGAATGGGTCGTCAGTCCATTCAAGGTTAAATGTCCGAGACTCCATTCGATCTTCCGGAATGTCTTAATTAATCCGGTGCCTATGTACTCCGTACAGTGTACAGTACAGCAACCTGCTTTGTCAGTGACTGTGGCCACCAAATCCTCAGTCCGATAGTCGTGAACGTCGACGAGATGCAGTCTGGAGACCCGAGCCCAGCTGGTTGAGATGAACGATGTCGGCCTCTTTCTAATGATGGCCCTGTCGAGAAAATAGAAACACTCCATATCCCATTCGGTGGGTCCCGAACCTTGTTAGTCTGGGCAGTTGCTGATGCCTTTTGAGAGCACAGCTTGATACTCCCTCTATTCGCCATGGCTCTAGATCATAGAGACCTGGTGCTCTTGTTGGCACATAAAATCCACAGTTTAAACACCTTTGGCGCAGCTTCCCAGCGCTCCGTTGGGCCTCAAAGACCGCATAATGGAGGGAGTAACTCTATGGGACGAGTCAACGACAATGGGCCTCTGCCAAGGTTCAGATGTATTGGAGTCCTCTCGAATCAGCACTCGCAATCGTCAATTGAGGGCCCAAACATGCAGGAGGACTCATATCATCCTTGACCACCGAGCAAGGCCTTGGAATAAGAACCTTGAACAATTCAACGCCTGTAGGTCGATCGGCAAACCGGCACGGGCGGCAAACCGGACCCGACCTGCGATCTCTGTCTAAGTCCGTTGATTGGCTCGTGCCTGTAAATGACTGTAACGTGCTTTGTTTTCCAGTCATTGCATGGATGTGGTGCGTCAATCAACGCGATTCTCCAGATCGTGTCCAGTGTCCACCTTTCCACGGGGATGACCCATGAGTTTAATATTCATGAGTATGAGCTCCATCATGATCTGGGGTAAAACCGGGGATCGAAGCAGGAGCACCAATCCGGCATCCTAGGAATATCGCTATGCAGAGAAACCTGACCTACCCTACAGACAAGGGTAGTGCTTGATCAAATCCCGAAACTACTGCAGACCCTCCTGGTACAAGCGAAGAGTGCCAGATCGTCGAGTCATACAAACATGCGATACCGGTGGTCAAGTCAGTAATGGAGAAGTTACAAGTTATCGCCAAAGTCTTATCAGCAAAGATTGTCGCCCCACTCTCTCGTTGCTCTCTCGCCAATCTTAAGCCTAAATTGTATTCCTGAACCGAATTAGCTAGAGTCCCAGGGCCGCTAATCTTCAAAAAAGTCCTTGACCATGTCAATCCCACTCCTTCAAGAGGGCTAGCTCTCGCTCCAGTGCCTGGCCCCTCTGGACATTTATTCTCCATCTCGCCACTTTCTATACATCTCTAGCTCTTTCAAGCTGAACCTTGGGGTCCTTGCTACATCTGGACCTGAATGCTACCCATGTGATAGCTTTAAACGGCCTACATCCTATTGTACGAAACGGGAGAACAAGATTACAGCCACATCCTGAAGGCCTTCAAACCAACTCAGCTCATGGAACCTCATTCCTAGTCTTAATATCTAATACATCGCTAGATAGAGCAAGTCTCTACTTTGGAGCGTTATATACCGGACTCACACCGGTGCCTTGGCTGTCATAACAGCCAGCAAAGATCATGGCGTCCCCGCAGACCCCGCCCCAAGATGTCCACAAAAGCATTCGTCCCAGCGAGGAGGAGACCACCACGAGATATGCCCACTCCATCGCGGAAACAACATCTTCCGACGAGACTGTCGATCAGATAGAGGCTCTGGCCAACATCAATACGAGGACATCGCGCATCTCGATACCCTCACTGGCGCGAAAGGTGACATCGATTGGCACTACTGGGACAACCGACCCGAACTATGAGGTCGACTGGGAGGATGAATTCGACAGGACCAACCCGAAGAACTGGTCCCTCGGATACAAAGCCATGGGGATGTTCTTTCTTTCGTACAACACCCTGATTATGTGAGTTACAATCATCCTTCCCTACACTCGGAATGTTTCAGGTCCCCAGGATTGACCCTCCTGTTTCTTGAATACCAGAGTTCTCTATTCAACCTCCTACACATCTGGCATTTCTCAAATTGCCGCCGAGTTTGGCGCCTCCACCACAGTGGTCACTCTGGGACTGACCATGTACCTGATTGGGCTTGCCATCGGGTCTATGTTCATGGCTCCATTGAGTGAACTCTACGGGCGAAAGCCCGTTTCTGTCGGCTGCCTTGCAATCTTCACAATCATGATCATCCCCTGCGCAGTCAGCAAGAACCTAGCCACCTTGATTGTGTGCCGCTTCATTGGAGCGCTTTTCGGCAGTGTGATGATTTCGACGGCGCCAGGTATGGTTGCGGATATCTCGCACGATGATCAGCGCGCACTGGCAATGTCGATTTGGAGTATTGGTCCCCTCAATGGTCCAGGTATGCGCAAATGTTCGATCTGAGAACTGAAGACCAGAAAAAGAAATTGACTAGAAATGCAGTGGTCGGTCCCATAGTCGGAGGGTTCGTGACGCAGTACTTGGGCTGGCGTTGGATGGATTGGATTGCTTTGATCTTGTCCGGGGTTGCGTTAATCCTTTCGTGCATACTCAAGGAGACCTATGGGCCCATTATCCTCCAGCAAAAGGCGGCCCGTTTGCGCAAAGAAACTGGTGAATCGCGTTGGTGGTGCCGTTACGACCAGAAGGCTAGTCTGAAGGAACTGCTGACGGTCAATCTGAGTCGTCCATTTGTCATGGCCGTCACTGAGCCGATCTGGTAAGCTGTTCTTTCTACACTTCCCCGATACGCGAGACTAACGTGGTACTTTCTACAGTATCTTCTGGAACATCTACATTGCCATCGTCTATGGCATTCTATACCTATGCTTCACAGCTTACCCCATCGTCTTCCGCCAGATCCGCGGCTGGTCTCTCGGCTTATCCGGCCTAGCCTTCTTAGGTATTGGAACTGGGTGCTTGATCACCATCGCCTGCGAACCGCTCATCCGCCGCATGATCAACAGCCACAAGATCGACCCGGAAACCGGCAAGCCCGCCCCGGAAGCCATGGTGTCGATCGTCTGTATCTCCGCGCTTCTGATCCCCGCGGGGGAGCTCTGGTTTGCGTGGACCGGCTCTCCGGCCTCGGTCCATTGGATCGTCCCGATCCTGGCGGGGATCCCCTTCGGTGCGGGTAACACGGGGGTTTTCATCTATGCGACGAACTACCTGGCGGGCAGCTATGGCGTCTATGCGGCGTCAGCCATGGCAGGTAACTCGGTCATCCGAAGTATCCTGGGCGGCGTGTTGCCTTTGGTGGGGACGTACATGTACTCGGGCATCGGGCCGAACTGGTCTGGTACGTTGCTGGGATTGTTGGAGGTTCTGATTGTCCCGATTCCGTTCGTGTTCTATAAGTATGGATACAAGATCCGAGAGAGGAGTACTCTCATTCGGCGGATGCAGGAGGACAAGAAGCATTTGGAGATGAAACGAAAGCGACAAATGCAACGAGGTGAGAGGGGGGCTGTGTCGGAGAAAACAAAGATGGAGGTTTAATTTAGAAAGGGATTTTTGCATTGAGAGGAGCATGCATGAATTGGAGAAAGAATCATACGCTCATGTGTTTTCCCCATAAAGAAATCTCTGCATGGCTGAAACCGAAGATTAGCGCATCGTGGGCATGGTCCAAATCTATGCGATGACCCCTACTCTGAAATCTGAGTGCAACGTTCAGACTTGCATAGCATGGCTCCGATCACCAGGGCATACGTAGATGCTGAAATTGGGCTTAATACTCCATCACCTCCACCTCCACCTCAAACCGCCCTCCTCACTCGCCGTTCAACCTCCAATGAGTCCCGAAGAATCCGCTCATACTCCCCCAACGCCACCGCGCCCGCCGGGATCACCAGCACAGCTTCAATGTAGATAGCCGGGAACACGGAGGCAGGGCCAGCATCCTCGGCATCTTGGCTTGGTTTTCTTCTTCTCACATACCCGAGCACAGTCACCCACGCACCCACGCGCAATAGCTCGGCCGTGACCGATTCTAGCACGGCATTGACGTCGACCAACACCGAGGCTGGCTCTTGCGGGGGTTTACGGTGGGGATAGTTGTGCTCCAGAACGAGGTGGCCTGTTCGGATTAGGTATGTTCTCACGCTGAAGAGTTGAATTAGCATCTGCTTCTACGGATGAGGTGGGATTGTGCGAGGTTTAAAGGGAACGCAAATGAATCATCCCGGATCTATATAAATTCTATACGGGAATAGTAGCTGCACATCAGGGAAAGTTCCGACGCACCAACCGAGAAATCGGACTTTCGAATCAATCGGGAGGGAGGGAAGATCCGAGAGAAAACTGCGGGTTGAAGGAAGGGGGGCGTTCATCCCTTCGACGTTTATTGAAATTTCATCGGACCATACATAGCTGGTGGATTTAGTTGGATTGATGCAGAACTTAAGGAAAGCCTGAGAAGATATCGAAGCAGCGGGAAATGACGTGGGCACGTGACGGTGACCTCCCCGATAGGCTTAGCGTGTATGTCATAGGGCCAAAACGAGGGGAAAACCAAACCACTGGGCAGGCGGATTATCATCCAACTTGGGTTCGTTGCCTTCTCACTCCTCCTCTTCTGCCTCCTGCACCGGCTTTCAACTCTAGACACTGTTGTGTACTTGGTCTTCTATTTAGTTCAGGCAGACTTACAGATCTCCTTCTCCCATCTTCCGACACTAACTCCCGGGTCCGATCGAGTGAGATCCACTTATTGCGACCTCATCCCACTTCACACCTCCTCGACCGCCTTCCCTCCCCCTCCAAGGAAACTCGCCGCTCTTCCCCAACAACCCACCCCTTCTCGAGCTTTTATATCGCGGATCGGTGTGAGACGCAGAATCTCATAGAGATACTCCGTCTTTCACACACATTCTAGACTCTCCTCTTCTCTACACACAGTCCTTATCAACAATGTGGTCCTGGTTCGGCGGAGCGGCCGCTCAGAAGCGGAAAGATGCGCCCAAGGAGGCGATCCTGATGCTCCGCGAGCAGCTGGACATGCTCCAGAAGCGCGAGAAGTATCTCGAAAGCCAGATGGACGAGCAGGATGCGATTGCGAGGAAGAACGTGACGACGAATAAGACCGGTATGTTCTTTTCCTTCCTGTGAATCAACGTCCGGGGAAACGGTCGCGGGAGAGTGGTCCAACAAATATGGAATGCACAGACAACTAATATGTTCTAAACCAACAGCGGCCAAAAACGCCCTGCGACGGAAGAAGAACCACGAGAAGAACCTCGAGCAGACGACCGCGCAGATCGTACAGCTCGAACAGCAGATCTACTCGATCGAGGCGGCGAACATCAACCAGGAGACTCTCAATGCCATGAAGGCGGCCGGTGCGGCGATGACGCAGATCCATGGCTCGATGACCATCGACAAGGTGGACGAGACGATGTACGTGTATACATATGTTTATTATGGTTGGAAGTGGCGGCGCAGCCGGGGGCTAACCAGTGGGCACTCAAAACAGGGACAAACTCCGCGAACAGCACCAACTCAGCGAGGAGATCGCCCAGGCCATCACAAGCAGCTCCATCACCGAACAACCGGACGAGGCCGATCTGGAGGCCGAGCTCGAGGGTCTGGAGCAGGAGGCGATGGACGAGCGGATGCTCAAGACCGGCACCGTGCCCGTGGCAGACCAGCTCAACCGGTTACCCGCCGCGGCCAACGGAGAACGTGAGTTCACTACTCCTCTACTTTCCCAGCAAGCTCAATCTCTGGAACACAAACAACTAAACCTCAAACCTCTAGTCAAAACCCAACCCACGCACATCGAGGAAGACGACGAGGAAGCAGAGCTGGAAAAGCTTCGCGCCGAGATGGCCATGGGATAAGTGGGGATCGGGGGGCGCTGTGCACCCCCCCATTCTTTGCTTTATTCTGTAATTCTGTCCCCCGTATCTTAAGAATATCTTGTGCCGTCTGCCCTTGCGCCGCTTCTTTTTTTTTTCCCGTGCTTTGCTCTTTCACACCATTTCTTATTTTTGTCTCTCTCTTTTGCGTCTTGGAGTTGAGCCGCGTTTGCGCTGCGTTTGCCCTTTTTTTCGCTACTACTACCACTACCACCACCACCACCACAACACTACTACTACATTCGCATGATGGAATGGAATGAATGAATCAATGTCCACAACTAGATACTATTGAATACTGCCTAAACCACTGAAAAAATTTCAAAATGCCCGTGCGCTTAGCTTATATTGAGTCCCCGCAAAGAATCTGCCTGCCGTGCTGCACCCACCTCCCCCGCGAGCTTGCCCGTTCTTCTGGCCTAATTTAAGACATATCATGCTGGAGCCTGGAGGCGTTACTCATCCTGCCTTAGAAAGTTGCTTTCTAGACTAGGTAGGTACATACTATCGAGCTCAGCTGGCTGGCGAACGGTCCATGGGACCTCGGGCAGTCGATCCGGTCACGGGTCGGACTGGTTCTAAGTACCAGCCTAGGCCCGACCATCTTCAAGCCCCTACCGCTTGCAAAGGATGAGATACACCAAGGTCAAAATTGTATCGCTTGGACATTCACAAGTGACTGTTCGTTAACTGCTCTTTATTCGGGATAGATGATCGAGAATGGTCGATGTTTTCCGAATGACAGGTGGAGAGGTTCTTGCGGAGAATGAGGTGGATGAAGTATAGGTTGGTGCCTGGCCGTCTACGCTCAGACATCTCCCATTCAACAGGCATCCCCCATGCGAGGTAGGCTGATACGTGAGAAAAAATCCTACTCCAGGGCCAGAAGGTAAAGACGACGCAAGTCAAGCTTCAGCTATCAGATTAAGAAAAGCTATTAATACACATTTCAGGGGGGACCCAATTGATCGATTGATATGAATCGGAAAGCGCCAACTCCAAGGAGGTGTTTACCCTTCTGCAAAATAAAAAAATAAAGGTGAAAAATGGGGGGCAATGAAAGAACCCATCCGTAAGAACGCGTGGAAACCTGACACCTCCGTCCCTGTGCCGAATTTGGATCGAATTTGTGAGTGAAAGGATGAACTCTCGGATATGTAAGGAGACCTGGGAAAAGAAGACGCCATTGCATGATCAGTAGTCGGAAAAGGAACATTTATCGTAATACTTTTTCGTCCGTCCCGGGCCAGCTATTTCCTTGCAATGCTCTCCAAACGCGATGGGGTATGGCTCAGAATAGCTAGCTATTCAATTTTGCCTGCAGGATTGGCCCTGGGAAGGGGAAGGAGAACGTGGCACACATCAAGGGAACCAGGCGTAGCTCTTGAGCGGATTGCTACGGGCTCCGTCAGTGGCCTCGCTGGCCCATTTCGACTTCCAATGCAATTCATTTGCGGCGGCATCAAGAAGAGCTTCCTGGCAGTCCGGCGGGAGTTCCGCAAGGATTTCCGGACTCATGAACTCGGCATTCTTTGGATCAGCGACGCTGAGGAATCCATTGGAGCCGACATCGTGGACATCACCGTCCGGGCCGGGAATGCCGAGACCTGAATGCGGGGCGGTTTCAAAATGGACATCGTGGATGGCGAAGCGACGAGAAAGAGCCATGGGGACAGAGGAGAATATGGTAGTGGTTTCAGGATCGGTCGTTTCGGTTGTTGTTACTGCCGTCGTGTCGCCGGCGTCATCCATCGATTCATCGGCTTCCCTATCCGCCACAACAGTTGACTCGTTGGTGTCTTTACCATTCGTCAACCTGAGGGTCGACATTCCCTGTGCCAGTCGACTCGCAAGGCGCGGGTCAGGAGGCGGTACTCGCTCCCAGCGAGCATGAGAGGGCTGCATGATCTTTGGGTACTGCATGAGGTTGGTGTGGATGTCATATTGACCATCCAGATTCATGCGGCGGGTCTGGGAGAGAAGGCTGTTGAAGTTGCTGTATCCATAAAATCAGCATCGTATGACTAGCCAAATCAAGCAACAAGAAAACGCATACCTTGCTTCGCGAGCGTGCTCAAGCATCCAATTGTCGCCTGTGACTGTGACCTTGCGCTTCTTTGAATCCACCACCTTACCCGTGGGCAAGGGGGCTGCGGGTGTGGCAGTGTGGTAGACGCTACTGGCTCCATGCCATGCGACATACTGGTTCTTGTTATAAGATTCTCCCGGGCCCGGAAGTCTGTCCTCGGGGACAGCGAGTTCACCTTCCACATCTCCCCGTTCTCTCGCAGCCTGGGTATGATAATCGTCGACGACCTTTTTACCTCCAACGATAATCTTGGCGCCAAATTCCCGAAACACGGATCTGGCAGTGACCACGCCGATAGCTCGACCTTTGTAGGAGTGTGGGATGATTTCTCTTTCGATCAAATCGCGCTTCGCGTCATCGTCGATGATGATCTTGTACAAGAACTTGTGTTTCTGGAAGAACAGGTATGAGTCCCTGAATCCGATGCAGCGGGCCGGCTCTGTAGACAACATGTACTTCCGGTCGCCACGGTTCAGAAGTGTGAAGACGCGAACTCTGTAATCTCGGCCACCCAGCAGATTCCCGCACTTGTCGACCTTCGTCTCACCCTCAGGGTCGTCGGGCAGGGCCACTTCATCGTCGATGACATCCATCATGTTTCCTTCCTTGTCGATTGGAACCTGCGTAACATGCGACGGTCCGCGATTTCGCGCCCAACGTCCACCGCTGGCAGCAGGTCGTCCTCGTCTCCTCTTGACAGGCGTGCTCACATGAATCGGCGCGGGGGCGGAACCGTCGTCGGGCGCATCCCAGTCTGGGGGGCGGTTCTTGGGGGGGCGACCTATGCGACGCTTGCGCGGGATGGCTGAGATGCGACCTCCAGTGCGAGTTGGTGTGTCGCCCCGGGATGGCGCGTTGGAATCTTGTGCAGGTGTTGCCGCCTCTTCGTCTTCGGGGGCCGGGTCCGTTGGGCCTTCCACATCCGGATCCTTGTCCGACGCATCGCCAGGATCTGGCATAGCAGGCGAGGAGCCACGCGACGGCGGTGCTTCGATCATTTCTTCGTCAGAGGCATCGGGGAGCGGAGGTGCGGCATTCCCTAAACGGAAATTAATATTCGCGCTCATCACGGATTCAATTTCGCACGCACGCACGCCCTGGCAAGCAGCCAAAGAAGAATTAGCAGGAAAGGCAGGAAGGGGAATATCATACTCATTGATTGAGCTGCTGCTTGGGCAGCCGCTCGAAGTTTGCGGGCCATCGTTGACTGACAGCGAGCGACCGTTTGGAGTGAATGGAAGGAGGGAACGGGGACGGACGCCAAACAGAGTAAGGTGGAGGAAGAGGCCGGGCCTTCGGACGTGCCTTTCCGCTGCCTGTCGCGCTAAACCAAGAGGGTGGTCGGACGCGGATCTTTAGTTTGGCCGAGGATGCTGTATATATCACGTGAGTCAGGCCTGAAGACCGAGACTCTTGCCTCAGGCATACATAAAATGCTGCCTTGCCACGTGCCAAAACTTTTTGTTCCCTTCCCCTTCCCCTTCCCCTTCCCTTCTCCAATTTTTTGCCCTTTTCCTCCACTTCTGCCCCCCTCAATGGCGCGATCCCATTGACACTCGCTGCCGAATGATGTCATCGCTTCCTTTGCCCCGTCGATCGCCGACACTTAATTAGCGCTTGCATTGAGTTCTGATTTTCCGGAAAACCTCCTTTAAAACTTATCTGCGGGCTTTCAATTGACATTTGGGCTCCTCCCCACCATGTGTTGCAGTATGAGTATGCGGGATTTTTCGCGGATGGCAAGAGGTGGTTTTACTCGGTATTATGAGCAGGTCCAGGAGCACTGCATAATGCTGCTGCTCAATGAGGGCTTGAGCAACCATCCAACGCTATCGCGATAAGGTAAGCACAGACATTAACTAACCACTGGTATCGACAAGGTACGTAAGAACGTATCGCCTGCGCTTCATCCCGGCAGCCAGCTTCACATGCTGTAGAGAGGAAAAGGCGGTGGACATTCTCTTTTTTGACTTTTGGACACTTTCTGAAACCCCTCTTACCCTTTGCCCCTCCCATCTGCCCCCATCTCCAACCCAACCCCACCATGATAGGGTGCCTCTTCTCCGCACGCGTTGAATATCAGATGCATCTCTCTGAGGGGGTCGGGGGGACCTCCCCTCGTGCAATCATGTTGATCGTGTTGAAGGGCGATCATGTCTTATCGTATACTGAGTACGCCGTAGTGTTTTATCTCTTCCACGGCGTGGTTTACTCCGGAGCAATGGATCTTCTTCTTCTGCTGCTGCTGCTGTTGCTGCAGCGTGTGGCCCGGCGATCGCGCTTACACAGCTTCTGCTGCAGGTGACCGGCCTCACTGATCACAGGTCGCCCTTGCCGACCCAAGCAACAACCCTAGGATCGTCAAAACGGCCGGTGGTGACACTGGGGACTGCGTAGCAGGATTTTGGACTAGAAGCCGGGAGGAAGAAAGTCTATCAGTAATTCTACATGGGCCATCCCTCTTGTTATTGGAGGCTGCTCAACAAAAGATATCGTTTCGATCCGCGGGCGCAGCTGCAAGCTGTTTTTCTTTCTACCTGCCTCCCGATAAAAAGTCTAACAACAATGCATTATGGAGTGATCTCTCCTCCTAGAGCGTGCGTGCGTTAGTGAAGACCAGAAAGTCAAGCTGACTGACTGCGTCTCTCGGCTGTCACTGCCGTCGAACCAGCTGTCTTGGGAGATCGACTATCCTGCTCCACTTTCCTCCCCCACGACCACTGTTGCGATGACGCGCGAAAGTCGGTAGCTTTGCAGTAATAGATAGATGTTGTATTGTGTGGGCAAAGCTTCCCCACTGATCATGTATGTATGTATGTACTATGCTCAGCGGCCCTGAAATTCGTGAGGTGCACATGCAAGGAGATGGTCAGCCCGGAAATCCCGCTTGTTTCCGATGTGGTTCTCTGGGTTTTTTTCACGTTTACGAGGTTCATTATCATCATCATCGTCGTCTTACTTTTGTTTAGTTGGGACAAGAACGACTTTAGTGGACAGAAGGGAGGGGGGATGCTGTTGCGCAACTCGTAGTTAACTTAGGGCATCTGACTAAGAAATTAGGAATGCACGGAAAGCCCGAGGATGACATCGACAGTAAACAGTAAAGCGAAGCAGACTCGACATCGAAGGCTTGCTTGTCTTGTACTGTACGTAAATGCGGCGCGGCATTGCGGCTATACTACCCCCGAAAATAGATTCATGTATGCTGCAGAGTAACCATCATCTCAGCCGGCAAGGCTCTGCCCTTTCATATTCCCATCTGAGATAATCCGGCTTTGACCGCGACCACAACAAACACGAGCTGAAAATACTCCGCGGAAGTGTGATGTCACAAAAAAAATCGCATCTCTTATCATACTAATTATCCCTGGTCGGATTTCTTCAGCAAGGTGAGCCGATTTCCGGTGGCTGTCACGGCAAGGGGAATACAGTACTCGGACGAGAACTTTACATACTTCCATGACAGCCAAGGCAACCACTTCAGGAAGCGAGACATTCCTAAGGAGGTAATCGGTCTACTCCCGGTCCGGTCGAGAGCTACTAGGGAAGTAAAATCCCCTTAAGTTAGTAGTCCATAGGCGACAACCCAAAGGTGACATCGGTGATGAAATGTCACAGCTTCCTGCAGCTCAAGTTAATAGCATCATCGCCAGCCAAATGATCGAGTCACCCATCCCCTCATCCGCCGACTAGAATCTCTCTGTCAATCAATCATCCATTTTCAATGACCTGCGTTGATAGCGTTGGTCGCCGAGGAGACCCCACCCCGTTGCAGATGCCGGCAAGGCAACGAACGGACGGACTGAAGGAGAAAGAGGAGAAGAGGGAAAGGAGGAAGAGGAGGAGTAGGTGGTGGTGGTGGTGGTGGTGGTGGTGTGTGTGGCGGGCGGACTTATCATCCGGAAGTTCTTAATTGTAGAACTTTAGGTCGCGCGGCGCTTAGCGGATAAGCCTGGGGGAGAAAAGCTATAGCATCGCTGGAGGAACCGGGGGTACAGTACGGAGTAGTATAGTTTGGATAGACTTCCTGTATCGCGGGGACCGTTGTCAGATGGTGTTGCCCAGAAAGAAGAATGAAAGCCCTTTCTTCCATGGTACTACTGTACGATGTATGGTGGAAGGAAGGAGGTACGAAAAGTCGACACCAGATCCAAGCAAATGTCAAGGAACAGATGGAAGATCGATCGCACACAGATCTGAATTGATACGTCCTGGGCTGTGGTTGAACGGCATCTCGATGATCCCCTTACTCGGACCGGTTACTACCGACCACACGCAGAGATGGTAGATGGTAAGGAGAAATATGGCAGACTTTCGAGAATGCCCGGTTCTCCCCCATGAACCATGGAGTGACGCTCACCGGGGCGGATAATCAGTCATCATTGATCCCAAATAGTCAAGAGGCAAATCATGCACCGAGTGGCTGCTCATCATCAGACCTCCTTAGAGTCATCAGCGGCTTGAAGCTCTTGCTTCTCTTCTCTTGCTTCTCTTGGCCGGACAATCAACGTTCGGGGTTCATATTTATCTTCAGATGACTCCCCCCCTCCTCTTTCCTTTCCCCGAGGAGTTCGATGCGGTGAGTTTGGTTTAGGATTTGATTTCCTGCTTGCTTGTCTGCTTGCTTGTTTCTGTCCATTCCGTCGGTTTCAGGCCCCATTTCGAACTACCAAGGCAGCTATTGTTTTGGGTCCATGATTCTTGTTCTTCTGCGGCTGCTAACTTACTTTGATTTTACTATTGCTCCTTTTACACACTATCATAACCATTACCGCTACTACTACTATATTATCACGGCTCCTTCTTTCTCACCTTGCTATTCATCTATCCATTGGCAAGCACTGGCAAGCACTGGCAAGCACTGGCAAGCACTGGCAAGCACTGGCAAGCACTGGCAAGCACTGGCGGTAATACCTAAAAGGACCATAATGTTGCTGCCCTGCGAGTCGGTTTGTGGTTGACTTCACCAAGTGGCTCCAACCCAAGCCCCCGACTCTATTTCTTCATTTGTCCAAACCACCGCCATCTCCACTCCGCGCGAGCCCTTTCGCCTTACTTGGTTGTGATTTGTTCCTGAGTCCCCAAAAGGTGGCATTTTGCCTCCATCATTAACTTATCTTCTCCTGCTTAAGGCAACTCCGCACTAAGGTAGGTGCAAGATTTGTGTTTCATTGCCGTTCAACAGCCCCTGGACTATAAGCTCTGTTACAGGCCAACAAACCTACAACAGCATATATACAACATTATTGCCCGCCTCATCAATGGCCTCAAAAATTCCCTTTTCCACCTTCTTTATCCTTCATGCATGATTGATTGTTTTCCTACTTGTAGCAAATTCCCGCCCGACCTTATTGTATACCCCAGCATCACCACCAGCATCACCACAAGTGTCTGCCTGCACTCGTCGTTGAGCGCGATATACTACCCTTCGACCATCGCCTGACTGTTACTTCTTCTATCTTCAAGTGTGATTATTCACCTGGTTCGTGGTTACCCCCTCACCATTGGTTCGATTTCCCCGTAATCCAGCCCATGCCTTCAATGATCTTAACCTTCTTTCTATTGCTTTTTTTTGTCCGCAATTTTTGAAGTTCATCCCCCTTTGGTATCCTGCAAGTCCCTGATCCATTCAGCGGCTTCAGCGGCACCTTGAGTCTATGACTGGCACTTGGTTCTTTTTTGTTTTTCCCTCCTCTTCTTTTTTGGGACAGCATGAACGCCACCACCCTTTGCTTCCACACTTATCACTTCCACATTTGCCAGATTCTTGAAGGGTGTGAACCATGAAAGATCTCTCTCTCTCTCTTTCTAACATTTGATGTGTTGGTATTTTTTGACAGGGTTATATAAATCGATCAGACGAGCAACCGACTCACGATTCATCTACGTACCCATCAACTACTTACTACTACCTACCACCCACCACCTACCTTTACCTTACCTGATTCAATCCCACTCACTGCACCAACCGAACCCGCTATCCGCCGGTGTCCGCCCGCCATTTGTCCATCTGGGCCTGATTGACGCTAAGGCTCCATTTGCAACCCACATTGACGACGGGCAGTAATTGTAAGTTCCAATGATTCATTTCATCCTCCTCGTGTCTTGTCTCTTGTCTTCGGGTTTCTTCAGCTCGCCCCAAAGCTGAGAGTGAGAACGAGAACCAGAAGAAAAAAAAAATAAAAAAGAAAAGGGACGAACTCATTGGGTTCCTTTCTGGGCGAGAAAAGAAAAAAGATCACTTCTTCGTTCTTTTTTCTCTCTCTCTCTCTCTCTTTTCTTGCCCTGTGGCATTATTATTCGCCCCCCCTCTTCCCCTACCTACCAAGCTTAGCCTTCTACCCTACCCTACCCAGTTCCCTTTTACTCACCCCCCCCCAATAACTAACTACAATTCCACTTCGAATTCCCCCCTAATCTGCGCCTGACTTCATCCGCCTCCGCCTCTTTCAACATTTTCTCTCGCTCGGATCCACTTCTGGCTCTTCTGCTTTTAACACCTTTCTACCACCCAACAGGTCATTTAATCCCGCCTTCTCTATCCTTCTACCCCTCCCCATTCTTCTCACATCGCCCTGTCATCCGAACCCGATCGGATCCAACATCCCGCAAATTCCCCTGGGTTATACTCCCCAACATCATCTCCCCGACAAACGTTTTCTAGCTAAGATCTCTTCTCCTACATCTTCCGGAAGAGAGATTTTTGTCGCTCGCTAGTCGGCCTCGACTCACCTCACGCTCCACTACGTCATCCTTCGCGTCGCAACGTCTAGAACGACGATCTTTAATTCCGGTGCGCTAGGCGGAGGACTTGGTTATCGGATGGGAACATAATCATGGCTGCTGCTCAGAGTGCAACCCAATCGCGCGGAGATGCGGAGATGTTGAAGCAGCCCATACCCCGGAGGTGAGTCTTCTACTATGGATACTTCATCCGCCACCACATGGTTGCGATCTCGCGATGAGGATTACCAAGGTTCGGCCTTTACACTCCGAACCTGAATGCCCTCATGCTACTCATTTCTTACATGTCACTTATGTTCTGCGTAATATTGCATGCATCATGAGTCAACCACGATAGGCCAACGACGCAAAGTCTTGTATCCTCATTGTCTTGGCTCACATCTGCACCGCCCTGAAGTTTTTTTCCCCCCCAAGCCATCTATTTGATCTCTTGTCACTCAGTCGTTGTGTTCTGAGGCGCTTTGCGGTTTTACTGCTTTCCGTGTCGCGGCCGATCCAACAAATCTTCATTTTCCTCTGCGGTGGCTAACTAGTTCTGTAGCAGCGGTGTGCAAGAGGAAGACAACCAAGATTCGATCGGTTCAAACAGTCCGACGCCAACCGGAATCTCGACTCCACAGCCCGATCTAGCAGATAAGCGTCTGCCCTCCCTAAGTTCCAGTTACTTCCAGGTTGGTTCTCCCTCAAATAATAATACTCGTCGCCCCAACACCCGGTGTTCTTCTTCTGAGACTCGTGCTTCCGCGTATTCTTTCCAGTCGGATATGTCCGCTGGAGGAGGTCGGGACTCTCAAACTTTTGGTCACAATTCCTCACCCTCGGACTCCTTTGTCTTGATGGAGCGCCCGGAGGTTACGGACACCAAGTTATCTGTCGCTTCGCCGGATCAGAATCTTGAGACGAATATGATAGTACCAGAGACATTACCCCCCACGAACCTACCTACACCCCCGTACCACTCCGCTTGTGCCCTTCTGCAGAAAGAGTCGGATGAGACTGGTTCTGGTTCTTTTACCTCGGACAGAGGCATGAGCTCTATTTTCACTACGTTGAAGAATTATCTCTCGCCCGCCGGGAGCATGTCTTCTTCCGAATCTCCAGCCCGTCGTCATACCTCCCTGCCAGTTTCCAGCGTCTCTGACGACCCTGTCCTTGCCACACACTTCTCCAACCCTTCTCTTCCTCCTTACATGTCAGATACCCTATGTTTGGCGGATGCTCCCCTACTCGAACACGAAAAACCACTTGTCTCCATAACTTCTGAGAATCTGGCGAAGCTAACTGGAACCGTGTCGGATCTTGTGCGCTTTAAGAACACACCCCCACTTACTCCACGGGCCATGTCCAACGAAGGATCGCAACCGGACAAGAAGCCGGTCACATCGCCTCCTCCAGCATCAATTCCCGTACCAGTCCAGTCCGGCGACGAAACAAGCTCTACCGACGAGCTTGCCGGGAAGCTCAACGAGGCCTTCCCCCCCGAGAGAGATACTCCGTCGCCGTCTAATGGCCCGCCCGTGGCACCACTGAAGGGCAAGCTGTTTGTCAAGATTTCCGAGGCCAGGGGATTGCGACCCGGATTTGACCCCTATGTGGTGTGCGTTTTTGAATGGAATGAAGCGATTTCGAAGAGTGCCAAAGAGGAAGAAGACGCTTCGCTGGAACGGCAGCAAAAGGAACAGGAGAGCTTGGAACCCGAAGCTGGACGGCCGATGGCGATCCCGATGAAAAGTCGACAGAGTAGCAACAACAGCGCGCTAGACGGTCCCGATTTGAGGGGTGGTCGGGCTCCTGTCACTGATCCTCATTGGAATCACGAAGCGACTTTGTAAGTTCATTCCGTGTTTTATGCCACATGGCGCTTGCATCCAAGTCTCCGACCATCGCTAACACTGGACAGCGACGTCTTCGGGGACGAGTCGGAAATTGATGTGTCCGTCTATGATCGGAGCAACCATGAAGATTTTCTTGGTCACGTGCGACTATGCATTAATCTGATGGAAGACAATAGCCGCCTGGAAGGGTGGTTTCCTTTGGCTTCCCGTGCGGCGGGTGACTCTCAGGTGTCCGGAGAGATCCACCTGGAGATGCATTTCGAGAAGACAGAGAGAAAGCAGGTGGGACCGAATGATTTCGAGATCTTGAAGCTTATTGGCAAGGGAACTTTTGGCCAGGTGTATCAAGTGAAGAAGAAGGACACACGGCGTATTTACGCTATGAAGGTTCTTTCGAAGAAGGTCATCATCCAGAAGAAGGAGGTTGCGCATACCTTGGGTGAGCGTAACATTCTGGTTCGAACAGCTATGGCCGCTTCTCCCTTCATCGTCGGGCTGAAGTTCTCCTTTCAAACACCCACCGACCTTTACTTGGTCACGGACTATATGTCCGGCGGCGAGCTATTCTGGCATCTCCAGAAAGAAGGACGATTCCAAGAGGCGCGTGCTAAGTTTTACATTGCCGAGTTGATCTTGGCCCTACAGCATCTTCACGACCACGATATCGTGTATCGTGATCTTAAGCCGGAGAACATCCTCCTCGACGCCAATGGTCATATCGCTCTTTGTGATTTCGGCCTTTCCAAGGCAAACCTCACCCAAAACGATACCACAAATACTTTCTGCGGAACAACCGAATATCTCGCCCCGGAGGTATTGCTTGATGAACAAGGTTATACCAAGATGGTCGATTTCTGGTCTCTTGGAGTCCTTGTTTTCGAAATGTGCTGCGGCTGGAGTCCTTTCTATGCCGAAGATACCCAGCAGATGTACAAGAACATCGCCTTTGGCAAGGTCCGTTTCCCTCGTGATGCTTTGAGCACAGAGGGAAGGAACTTTGTGAAGGGCTTGCTCAACCGGAACCCCAAGCACCGTCTTGGCGCCAAGGGCGACGCGAAGGAGCTCATGGCCCATCCTTTCTTTGACGATGTTGACTGGGAGGCACTGGGTCGCAAGGAGGTGATACCCCCTTTCAAGCCTGTCCTCAAGTCCGATACGGACACTTCCAATTTCGACCCCGAATTCACCAATGCCCTAGAGAACAACAACTCTCTGAATGACCGCGCAGCCGCTCTTGCCAACGGGCTGATGCCTGCGGGGACACCGCTGTCTCCCGGTCTGCAGGCCAATTTCAAGGGCTTTACCTTTGTGAACGAAAGCTCGATCGACCACCACTTCAAGAACGACACTGGCGACCACATGGTTGAGGATACCGAGACGTGGCCTCGGGCCCAACAGGTGTCAAGCAACCACATGGATCACCGTATGAGTGGCGTTCAGAGAACTGGTGAAGGCGGCGAGCCCGGGATCTTCAACGTTGATGATAATTTCGACATGTGATAATGGCCTGATGCATGGAACTGGAGTTGTGATTTATATCTTCTTGTTTTGTACATGCTTCTATGTGTGGAGATGGAATAGGCTTTAAAGCCTGGATTCCATTTGCCCATGCTTGCTCTCCAGGGATGTCTTTTATTTTATAGCTTCTTTTCTGTGAGTACTTCGGGGAACATCATGCTGTACACACCCAGCGGCTTTGCTTTTCCTGTTCTTATCCCTCTCTGCCTATTGTGTTAGCTCTTTTCTGATCTTTTCTATCATGTCAAATGGATAGATGGTTGGATGACTTTTTATGATTGATTGATTGAACTTTCATTTGTGAGTAGGACTTGCGGGTTTTTAGAACCACCGATGGTTCCTCATTCATCTGGGAACTGTCCGGTGTTATGCCCAGCATATCTGTCCACTGCATTGCTGGATGATCTATGTCATGAATGTTTCTTTTCTGGATGCTCTCTTGTTATGGCTTCTGTGATAAGCTGTTCACAAGTCAAGTTCATTGCTTCGGTTTTCCTTGAATCCAGGAGTTGGTCGGACAGACTCGAAGAGATCATGCAGCGGCGTTCCACTGTCGGGCAGCATGGCGCAGGAAAGGTCGTGTGCTTGTCTTTTCTTTGTGCTTTTGAATTGGCTAGGCTAGAAGAGCTGGTTGTCTCTTGAGGCAATGCATGTGCATAAATAATACATCAAAATACCTGACTGTCTAGATCAATCTGACCTTTCTCAGGCCTACTTCTACCTTAGTTTCCAATTACTGATACATCACCTTGTCCACGTGACAGAAACCTTGAGCCAACAGAATGGCTGGTGTTCCTGAATGACCGCAGCTCAAGCTCCCGAGCTTGAGTCCTTTCCTTCTCTCTCCTTTCCTTCCTTCCCCTCCCCGCCGCCCTGCGGAATGCTGCCCGTGTCCTCGGTGATCACAAACAACCTTCTTGAAACAACAACCAACCAAGCTGAACTGAACGCTTATCATCAATCTATTCTCACCCTGGGCAAGATTTGGCAAGGCATCCTCGCCGTCTTGCTGCGCGGGGTCGGATTCTGCGTGCCTGATTGAGCTTAGTCCCGGATGACGACGGGGTGATCAGAAGCACTTTATGTTACCTTCCCGCCTGCAGCTGCGCCAATAGTTTCCCTTTCACCATCCATCCCTGCGAGAGGTTGCAAAAGGACCCTGCTGTGGCGTACATATTCAATATCCTCCCCAAATTGTCCGGTCATGCGCAGTCACAGTCCCTGCCTCGGTCTGTTCTGAATGCAAGCAGCTGATAAGGACCCCTCTTCCCTGGTGAGGAGCTTTAAGCTTCCAGATGTGACGCTTGCTCGAATACACTCGATTCACCGACCACCATGGCGAATCTCAAGCTTGGCTTAGCCCTCGTGAGCAGCGTAGCGACAGCACTTGTCGTGCTGCAATTGTTCCTGCTGATTAGCAACTCCAACGTCAATCAGCCGGTCAGGGTGCAGTCCCGGCTGCAATGGAAACAGAGAGCGACCACGACATCTGCGGCAACTTCTGCGTCTTCCGCGGCGGAGAACGGGACCTTCTTAC